TATTGCCCTACAAGAAAAAGAATGGTAAGGTAAACGGTGGAGCGTGCCACAGCAACCAGTAAGGTAAGAAGAATAATTTGTTTTTTTTTTTTTTTTTTTTGGTGAGGGGGGAATGCATTTACGCACCATACCATACATAGCCCGAGCTACGGCGTGTGTGGGACTCCAGGGTCTTGAGGAGATCACCTAATACCCACTAAACCCTAAACCTCCGCGTGGCCTGACTCATCAGCGTCTCGGTAGGCCATGTGTTGTGCGTGACCTGCGGTCTGCTACAACGTCTCCTCATGTGTATTTGTGGTCACTACCTGTGCGGTATTTAATACCACCCACTGATAGGCATCAACCCCTCCTCAGATGCCGTTTACTCTCGAATACTTCCATTCCAAGATTAAATATACAGGGTGGCCAAACACGTGACGTCATAAAAAAAAAATTAGATTCTCCACATCGAGAGGAACCCAAATCACCCCCATATATATGGTCCGATGTTGTTTAGTTTAGGAGTTATGATTTTTTTTCGGATTTTTCGAGAATTTTTGAGTTCTGTGTTTATTTTTACCATAACTTCGTTAATAATTGTGATAAATGCCTGCTTTTTTCACGATTATGTAGCTAAGACCTAAGGCTTAACTATCATATAATCATTCAAGTCATGTAACTAATACTACTTTTTAATTTTTTTCAAAATCTTCGAACATAACAAAAAAGTAAAAAAGTGCAACAACTTTGAACGTTTATAAAAAATTGAAAAAACATGTTCTTACTATTCGTAAGTATCTTAAAAACTTCCTTACGGTATCAGCTATTTACCGTAAAAATTTCATCAACCTAGCTTTACTACATGCTACCGTAATTGTGGCTCAAATAGAACCGAACCCAAAATTGGATAACCCTCTGCTCAATAGAAATTGTTAGTTTCGGAAAAAAAATTTGCAAAAACCACAAAAACACGTTTGATTTTTACTGAACAGCAGATTATTATTCATTTATGTTATTTACAAGAGGTTTTCAAAATGTCTGCCTCTAACAGAAATGCACAGTGTACACCTACGTATGAAATTTTGTTTTAAATCTCTAAATGCTTGTGTGTTGTTTTTCAACACATGTGTCGCTTCTTGAATTTTGTTCCTCAATGAATTTTCATTTGCACATTCTTGGGCGAATGTTATGTCTTTAAAATATCCCCAAACAAAAAAATCAATGGGGTTGAGGTCAGGGGAGCGTGGAGGCCATCGTATCGGTCCGTTTCGTCCGATCCATCTGTCTGGGAACCTTTCGTTTAAGTAGTTTCGCACGATCGTTGCGTTGTGGCATGGTGCACCATCATTCTGGAACACCATGTTCCGTCTGGCTTCCAGGCTTGAATCTTCCAGCAATAATGGTAGGCTATTTTCAAGGAAGCTTTTGTAGGCTACCGAATCCAACCTTGACGGCAGTTCAAATGGACCGATAAATTCCATATTGAATATTCCTGACCACATGTTCACACTAAAACGGTGTTGAAATGTCGATGCATTATTATTATGGCGTTGCTCAAGGCAACGGCGCTTTAGCAGCTCAGCTGTACCGGGAACAACTTATACGCCGAGGCGGACCACAACCTGAGCATTACTCAGACCACCGTGTTTTTATTAACACACATAACACTTTCATGGCAGGCCGCATTCCAGGACGAGGAAGCAATGAAGGATATCCTACAGCTGATCCGGATCGCCGAGAAGTAGTACTTGAAGAAATTAGCCGGAATCCCTCAACGAGTACGAGATCTATGGCACAAAACCTTAGAATACCACGAACATCGATACAAAATATTCTTCATGAAGAAGGTTATCATGCCTATCATGTTCAAAGAGTTCAAGCGTTGATGCCTTCAGATTACCAGTTAAGAGTGGATTTCTGCGAGACAATGCTGCGAAGACAACGAGAGGATCCCGATTTTTTTGATAAAATTTTATGGACTGACGAGTCACGTTTTGAAAGAACAGGGATATTCAATATCCATAATTTACATACTTGGGCTGTTGAAAACCCCCACCAGTCAAGGCCGTCGACATTTCAACACCGTTTTAGTGTGAACATGTGGTCAGGAATATTCAATATGGAATTTATCGGTCCATTTGAACTGCCGTCAAGGTTGGATTCGGTAGCCTACAAAAGCTTCCTTGAAAATAGCCTACCATTATTGCTGGAAGATTCAAGCCTGGAAGCCAGACGGAACATGGTGTTCCAGAATGATGGTGCACCATGCCACAACGCAACGATCGTGCGAAACTACTTAAACGAACGGTTCCCAGACAGATGGATCGGACGAAACGGACCGATACGATGGCCTCCACGCTCCCCTGACCTCAACCCCATTGATTTTTTTGTTTGGGGATATTTTAAAGACATAACATTCGCCCAAGAATGTGCAAATGAAAATTCATTGAGGAACAAAATTCAAGAAGCGACACATGTGTTGAAAAACAACACACAAGCATTTAGAGATTTAAAACAAAATTTCATACGTAGGTGTACACTGTGCATTTCTGTTAGAGGCAGACATTTTGAAAACCTCTTGTAAATAACATAAATGAATAATAATCTGCTGTTCAGTAAAAATCAAACGTGTTTTTGTGGTTTTTGCAAATTTTTTTTTCCGAAACTAACAATTTCTATTGAGCAGAGGGTTATCCAATTTTGGGTTCGGTTCTATTTGAGCCACAATTACGGTAGCATGTAGTAAAGCTAGGTTGATGAAATTTTTACGGTAAATAGCTGATACCGTAAGGAAGTTTTTAAGATACTTACGAATAGTAAGAACATGTTTTTTCAATTTTTTATAAACGTTCAAAGTTGTTGCACTTTTTTACTTTTTTGTTATGTTCGAAGATTTTGAAAAAAATTATAAAGTAGTATTAGTTACATGACTTGAATGATTATATGATAGTTAAGCCTTAGGTCTTAGCTACATAATCGTGAAAAAAGCAGGCATTTATCACAATTATTAACGAAGTTATGGTAAAAATAAACACAGAACTCAAAAATTCTCGAAAAATCCGAAAAAAAATCATAACTCCTAAGCTAAACAAAATCGGACCATATATATGGGGGTGATTTGGGTTCCTCTCGATGTGGGGAATCTAATTTTTTTTTTATGACGTCACGTGTTTGGCCACCCTGTATAGCTATTGATTAAAATAGGAAATTATGTACTAATAATTTCATGAGTAAAATCGCCTAGAGAACGCTTGTTATCCGTTATATTCGCAATTTAAAGTTACATTTAGATGCAAGATCATGTCATGTCATTTGATTATACGAGGTTTTGCGGAAATAAAGCCAAAGTCATATTTATCCAAGGGCCTTTCAGCTTCACAATGGTTAAAAACAGATAAAGCTATCGTCACTTTAAAATTGATATTTTGAATTTAGTTATGAATGGATTTTGCATCCTATTTTCACTTCAGCCTGAAGCTAGGGGAACTACCTCGAAAGTGTCACATCAAGTCTTTTTTTTTAGAAATACGGACATTAGACTTAATGGCACACAGAATCAGGACCCAAATACCTATGTCCATTTTTACGTTAATCCTGATCATTCTATCAGCCGCCTCTTTCAAAAAAAACGGTGCAAACAACAGAGGTCATTACCGTCCTAGGATGTGTGGCAAACGAGTGCCGTATACCGCTTCTGTCGACCTTTTCTGCTTTCAATGAAGCTGTCTCCGTTTAAAACACTGAAAACTTGCGTTGGGACGATAAGAAAAAGACTCCTCAGCATCTCTGCTCGCTACAAGGGCACGGGAGTTAAAAAAGTAAAAGCTGGAATCTAAAAGTAGGATTGTGAATAATTATGATCAATCAGCAAGGTTAATTAAATGAGAGGCAAATAAATTACAATGGCGTTCAGCCTCGATATCCTCTGGCTGCAATACCGTGACGCGCTTATGGTATCCTAATAGAAATACACGAACACACAGTTAAACCGACGATGTTGTTTGTGATCTCACACACTTTTCGACCGCTTACAGTGGCTGACGCAAATGGGGCTCTGCGCATTTGAGAGCCCTGCAAGTATCTTCCCTGGGAAAAAATTACTTTCAATCTAAAACAGAAATACAGGCGATGATATCACTCACTGGGTTTGCCTTTTCTATTCGTATTACTTTAGGGTGAAAGGAAACAGAGGACAAATTCAACCAAATGAAGATCTACCGCCTTATAAAGGAACGAAAAAAAAGCAAGAACTGTTGATTGAGGCCGCTTCAGCCCCCCTCGCAACTGCCGCCCTCGGCCATGACCCTTTTGACCCTAAAGTGAATACGCCTCTGAGTTGCAGACAATATTTTCCTGAAAAGTTAATTTTCAAATTTCTACCAAATAGGAGTGGTGCAACATACACTCAATATTTTGGTTTTGGTCTGACCATCTTGCAAAGCCAAAGCTACTTTTGAAACCGCTAATTTTCTAACCAATTTCCTGCAAATCGAGATGGTACAGCAAACACAACTTATCCGAGTCTCCTGCGATTTATGTTCCCTTGATACAAAGCTACGAATGAACACCACTTGGTGGAGTACGTGTTTTCGAAGTCCGCTGTCAATTATCATCTGACAGTTCAGCCACTTCCATGAATAATGTCACATTAATTATCGGACATGAGATTTTTTTCAAACATAATAACTCCAGCATGTAGGAATCATTTGAATTTCCAGGGTTTTAACAAAAAATAAACTTTTCGTAAGGTGTAAGATGAAAGGCGTTTAAAAGATTTTGATGAGTGAAGATTACTAGTACCAATTGAATGTCATGTGATCCTGTTACAGGGACTCGAACGATCACTATGGGATGTTTAATCCAATTGGATTAACGTAATAAGGAGGTGAGTCGTCTACAACGAATTGTATTGATGACTTTTATTGATTAATAAGAAAATTCGTCTTATAGTCTAAATTTAATCGTGGCGTCTCTGTATCTATCTACAGTCTGCACAGGTCAGGCATACCGAAAGGGAAATGGGAAGGCATGAATTCAAACATAATCGAGTAGTTGGTACATAGCACAAGCGCCCACCTTCTTCTGTTCCTACTATCCTAAGCAAAAAGTACGAATTGCAACATCTATACGATTCGTTTACAACAAGCGAGGCGAGGTATTCGACTCGATTCTGTAAGTAAGTATCATTAATTAAGAAAGAGCACGGATTACATGTGTCATAACTTACTTCATTGTGACTTGTATGGTATGTGTACTAGATGATTCGCAGCAATCAAGTTCTTGCGTACTGTCATCATCAAATGTAAGGGTTTTAAAAACTGGAGGATGTGGCTACCTTACGTCATTATGAATCTTTAATTCCGATCTAAATTATTTCTGTAACATGTTGTACATACAATCGCTTCTTTCTCCTATTCACTATTATCTGTCAGTTTCGAAGAGTGAGTTTTTCGTGCTACTTGATGTTCTGAAATAATAGGCAGATGTATTCTAATAGGGAAAATTGGTGAACCTCATCGATGTTGCGCTCTCCGTCAACCGTAAACAAGCAGTTAGGTGCTACATTCATTATGTGAGTGTTTTTTTTAGCAAGCCATGGAACAATACATTCATGCCTATATTAATTCAATTGCTCCAAATGAAAAATGATGTAATATGTCAACGATTTCAATTGTCATACAGAATGGACGGATCTCTACGTACAGACTTATACCTCCTGCCATTCGTGTTACCCTGATAGAAACGGGAATTCACCTACCGTTTGAGGAACGTTCGAATATGACAATTACTTATCTTTTTTTATTGTAAACGAATTTAGCCATTCTAGGGATACTTTGTTAATTGACCGGGTTAGATTTTCCAACATTGCTAGATGTTTTTTAATGCACGAACTAGAAAGGAACACCTAGTTGGTGAACGAACAACTTGGGTGCGAAATCGTAAAGTAACTAAACGTTATTGATTCGTATATTTTTACCAGGGTATCATAAGACGGAAAGGATATTGATTCTTTAGCTATATATGATCATAACTATCAACATACCCAAACTTTGTTACATTGGGCTTGCGCAGTAGCGAGAAATACTTTGTCCGCCGTTATTGGAATAAGTAGCTGCGTAACCACTACCAGGTCCATTGCAAATGAATGGTTTGCAGAACACAGAAGACCTATTGGCATGCGAAGTGTTTACCGACGAATGAGAAGTATTGGCTTGTTTTCATACCGGCCACACTGGGTCCTCCCTTTAACTCGAGAACACCGACGTAATCGCCTTGAGTGGTGCAGACCACGGTCACTCTGGGATCAGGAATGGAACAGTATTGTCTTTAGTGACGAGTCTCGATTTTGCTTAGGCATGCACGATGGTCGTGCCAGAGTTAGAAGGCGACGTGGTGAAAGGAGGAATCCACAGTTTTTTGTTGAAAGACATGTTCATCACACTGTTGGAGTTGTGGTTTGGGGTGCTATAGCTTATGGTTCCAGGTCACCTTTAATCTTCATCAGAGGTAACATGAACGCGCAGCGTTATATCCATGAAGTTCTAGAACCCCATCTTTTACCCTATCTTAACACCCTGGCAGATCCAACTTTCCAACAAGATAATGCCCGACCACATGTTGCAAGAGTCTCAATAGACTTTTTTCAACATAATGATGTCACATTGTTACCATGGCCACCAAGATCTCCCGACTTATCCCCAATTGAGCATGTGTGGGATATGATGGGTAGGAGATTGCTCAATTTGCAACGTCCTCCTCAGACTCTATAAGCACTTCGAGAGGAGTTGGTGGTTGCCTGGAATGAGATACCACAGGAGGACATTGACCACCTGATGAGAAGCATGCCTAGGCGCGTTGGAGAATGCGTAGCACATCAAGGTGCATCCACACATTATTAAAGGTGAAAGGGCTTTAAAGCAGTGCAATCATTCTGAAATTTTTATCATTTACTTATTATGCTTCATTAAGTCTTATACAAAATTTTATTAAAATAAAACCATTTAAACTGGGTGTTCGGATTTATATGTCACAGTATATTATAGGTTAAATTCGTAAATTCGAACAGCAACCAGCACTTTTGACAAAAGTTTTGTAATCAGCTTGAGATTTTACATAAGCGTAAATTCTCGTATGTGAGGTTGTATGGTCGTAAGTCGTCAAATTAGTAGGTCACTGGGCTACCAAAGTTCTTAGTCTCTTTTAGAATTTACAAACCTGACTTCCAAATGGTATGTGACCTAAAGTTTTCACTACTGATTTCGCGATCTCTGCTTATAAACTCCTCTTGGTTGGTCATGGTTACACAGAACGGCGAGCAGCTACAATCCAGAAGTTATGGGTTGAGGATTTAATCAGCTTTGGCCGACCATTTTTATAATGTATATCTTATCTCTTACCTCCTGAAATCATAGTACAAACCGTTTCCTGGTTACCAAGTTTGTGGGATGTTCCTGTATCTTCCAGTCGTCTAAGCTTGACTCACTAATTTGACAACTGATTACCGCCTGAGCTCAAGCAAGAAAAATGACTCCTATTTAGAATGTCCAGCTGATTGTTTATCTGCAACCATAAATGGCGGTTGTTCGAATTGGTGACTCAGACCATTATCTAAATCGCGTTAGTAGCCACCAATAATTCCTTTTTTCATCTCCTGAAATTTTTCTAGAAACTTTTCGAAACAAATATTTCGCAGCGTTCGAGTGTTCTATAGATGCATAAGTTAACACTTAAGCTTCCCTAGTTGTCATTCCCAGTAAGAATTACAGCAATTAGTTAGGTATCCAGAATTATAAAAGAACATTTTGGTTGCACTGAACTTTACATCAACGTTTTTCATTTTAATCCCGGTAACTCCACGACTTCTCTATCAAAGCTCCGGACTTCAAACGCAAAGCACGGCAGTTAGTCTGATCAACATGCCGCATACTAACATTCAATAATCCTTGAGGATTAAGAACGTACTTTGATCTGCTCCTCTAGCAATGACAGAAATATATATCTCGGCGTTAAGCTCATCTATTTTTGTACATGCCGCATGTTTTACCTAATGCCACTCAGTGGGAATACTAATGGCACATGATTTACAAGCTGTGCGTACATCAAAAACATCACAGATCTGCAAACAGGAGCGTAGTTGGATTGAGTCTGTTCTAAAAATGATGCAAACTTATATCACAATCAAACTGGAAGAGATGAGGGGAAAATCAGCATAATCAACTTCATATAGACAAAAATTTACGCCACTGCTGTATGATAAAATAGGGCCTTTTCTCAAAACCATATTGATTCTGCTAGAGAAGTGTTTTTTGTGTTTGGGTTTTTTGAAAGGTTCAAAAAGAAAATAAAAAAATGCCTGCAATAAGAGTATGAAGTTGTGCTTTCTCGCGTTGGTTAACAGTCAATTAAAAAGATTTCCAAAAACAATTCTTCCTCAAATGCTTCAGGGTTTTGTTGACAGACTTTTGAACCTTAGAAACGTTCGATTTTTGTTTTTACTTCCCACACCTACGGCCTACTGACAAGGAAGCATTGTATTCGCGAAAAATCACGAAGACCCAGGTCACTCATTTCCGCGAATACTTGGCCGGCTATAACTTGCAAAGCATTGCTCGGATTTGGTTGACATTTTCAAACAAGGCTGTTACTATGCCAAGGACGAAATATCTTGGTAGTTTTTTAATGGAATGATTTTTTATGAACTTCTAATCTCAGTAACATATCACCCCGTATAAGAACGATTGAAATATTTTGGGTATAAAGTGCACTAAACGCTGCTTGCTCTCCAGACCCATGCGATGAATTTTCACTTGAACAACGGAGAAGAAATCAAAGATGCGACGCTGATGTAACAATTGTGACTCTCAGGGCAATATAATTTACTGAGTATAAATAATTAGATAGGGTGACAACATTAGGGCTGTAGTTATTCAGGTGTAACGAATATACGTTTACCAGGCCTCTGCGAAAGCTGTCCTCGATTATTCAAAAAATATATATCATATTCAAAATATGACATAACCAGCTGTAGGGGTCCCATAGCCGACTAAACGTAAGAAAGTTGATTCAGATCTTGCGTATTCAAAGCTCGTAATTTTTGACAAATAAAGAATTCGTTTTTCATTGATATTTATTCTACTCTATGGCCTTATGCCAGACAAAATAAGCGTACAAATTGAATCAGACTATAGATGCATTTTATCTTTCAATGTCGACAACGGTATATTTTGTGATTTAACTAAGAGCAAAGGTCCACCGGACCGCTGACGAATAATGACGAATAGTAGTTTAGACTTTAAATCGCAACTTTTTTGAAATTGTTCACCTTAGGGATAAGTTCATTGGAACCTTTTTTGTACAGTTTTATAAAAAAAATTTAAAAATACTCTATCCGGAGCGAAAAGAACCAATCCTTGGCGTGCTCTCTCGTTGACACAAGTCGTTGAAAGGGGTCTATTTTGAACAAGATCATGCCAGAATACCGGATCAACGTATTTTTCTGAGTAGATGCGAAGATATACTTTCTAAACTTGGGGCCAATTTCACCAACAACAGTCCGTTATTCTCCACCTATAGGGTAAGAGACCGTCAAATACAACGAATGAGCTTCAAGTACCAATCTACAAACCAATAGCTATGAAATGTTGAAAACAAAATACTGTCAAAGTATGTGATGACAGCGTGTCATTGAAACATCACCAGCTTATTGAATATTAAGAAATTACATATAATTCAGTCAAAATTCAAAGAAATGTTGGATTTTTGAATAAAATTCGCGTTTTAATTACTATTGTTGATTTTTTATTCATGTTTATATTATTTTCTTCAATCGATATGCGATACTGGGTGTTTTTTTCCTATAAACCTCTTGCAGATAGCCATTAAGCACCTACTTGATGACAGGCTCTACCAAAAGATATTGCTCGTTTCCAAACATTCATTGATTTACTTGCCGTTCATCAGAACCATCATGGCACCTTAGATTGATATTCCCACAAAACCATTCAGGTTTTTCGATATCCATACATCCATAAAGTTGAATATTTTTCGTTGTTCGGGAACTGAACAAACATCCACACTATATTCACAGCGATTAAGAAATTCCCAAATATATGCCTTAAATCTACCAGCAAACCTAAAAGCTGCAAAAAACTACAAATTTGCCATATTTTTCTTTTT